TGTTTGAAAGAACGTGACAAAATGCAAGGCATCAAAGAGCATTTTTTAAAACTCTTCCTTTTAAGTAGAAAACGACATCCCAAGTTCAATATTCAAAATACTCTCAAAAAATGGCGCTCTAATTAAATAGGTCTTTTTATATATGATAACAACAGTTTAATTTAGAAAAAGGGCTCTTTGGTGCCCTGCGTCTTCACATACTCTTTTCTACAAAAGAATATGAACGACATAGAATGAGCCTGGGCAATGAATTTGAATTGGGCGATCGAGAAAGGCTAATCTGAGAAAAAGTGAAAAACATGTTTCAAGTTATCTGAAATACGCTTATTTTTCAACGAAAATCATCAAAAGTTTTGGAAAAAAGGACTTGCCAAATAAAAAAAGAATACTGTTTCTGAAAAGGCAAATCTTAAGCTGTCCTCCTATGCATTTATCTCCACATCAGATTTTCTGACGAATATTAACTTTTTTGAGAGGGAAAGACCTTAAGCATGGACATAAGAGTAAGCATGGACATAAGAGTAAGTATAGAAATAAAAGTATAGACGTAAATAGATAGGGTTAATTCTATTCATGTAAAGTTTACTACGAAACTCTTCGTATGAACTCTTATTTTCGATTCAGTTCAAATGCTGTGTAGGAAGCTTCTGTTGCGACACCTTCTTTACAGCAGCCCAGAAGAGGTTTGATACGAAACGTTTTCTTCACAGAACCAAAAAGGCTTCTTCCGTGTATCCGTCGAAAGAACCTTTTAGAAGCATAGTCTAGTCTATATAGATTGAACAATTCTTTGTCTTCGATCCGCAGACTGCTCTATTGTTTGAAGAAATACCAACTTATCACAGGCTGTTTGCAGTTTAAGCCAATAGTTTTTGCAACTGAGATTTATATAATTATAAAATAATCTTTTTTTCTGAGCATAGGCGAAAGTATTAAAAAGCTTCAATTGCATTTCAGGATAAGAAATAGTTAAGTAAAAGTTGCAGTATACGGTCATGCATAAAATATACATATAGCAGATACAACTGAAGGATGCTGTGTATGTGGCCCTTGTTTTTACCCATACTCTATAATCAAACCTAGAGAGGAAAGTGCATGAATAACGGATGATGTGAAAGTTCTGCAACGATTTCGTATTGAATATGGGGCTATGATGGAATGTTATAGAAGCTTTTTTCAAAGGCCAAAAATATTTTGAAGCAAAAGGGAGACCAGAATCTCACCCCACGGAATTTGCGATCCGGAATTTCGGCTCGATCCGAAATTCCGGTGATTTTTCGGGCCAAGCCGAAATTTCTTGTGGACTGTCGGCCCATGACCTCATTGACCCTAAAATAAAAAAGCTAATTTTTTAAGATTAGTTGCTAGACATCGTAGTGCTGAGCAGGACGCCATAGTGCTCAGCAATATGACGTAGCGCTAAGCAGAACGTCATAGTGCTGAGCAGAGCGTCATATTGCTGAGCAGTGTGACGTTCTGCTCAGCACTGCATCATAGCGCTTAGTAGTAAGGAGTAGTGCTGAACAGAACGTCATAGTTCTGAATGGTATGGCGCAGTGCTAAGCAGGACGTCCTAATCTTCAGCTTTATGGCGGAGGTGTGGGTGTGAGTGTGGGTGAACTGTGGGATAATGTGAGTGTGGATGTGGGTGAGGTGTGAGGTAGGGTGGGTGTGGGTGTTAACGGAAAAGACATCCACACCCCATACCCTCTGCTCAGCACTACGTCATACTACTCAGTACTATACCATACCGCTCAGCACTATGACATCTTGCTCAGCACCATGCCATGCCGCTGAGCACTATGACGTCTTGCTCAGCACTATGACGTCCTACTCAGTACTACGATGTCTAGCAACTAATTTTGAAAAATTAGGTTTTTTATCTTAGAGTCAATGCGGTCATGGGCCGAAAGCCCACAAGGAATTTCGGCCCGGTTCGAAATTCCGGTGATTTTTTGGGTCGAGCTGAAAATCTGGGCCGAAAATTCTGTGGGCCGAAATTTATGGAATCCGCGACTAAAAGCATTTGTTTTGGCCCATTTGGGATTTACAAAGCGAACATCAAAACCTTCAGCCGAATATCACTTATACAAAATTTCTATTCTGTTCCTAATAATATAATTTAGTAGAGGTCTGAAGAGTCTTTTTTTCGTATAAAGTCTATAGCTTCTGGGAACCGCTTTTTTAGGATAGAGTTCATTTTTTCGACTACAATCGACGAAGATGAAAAGTATTGACACCAGAGAATATTGTAAAAGCGTCTATTCTGCTCATTATAAAACATGTAGATAGTTTTTTTTTCTACAGTAACAGTGTTACACCCCTAACTTGAACAACTCACACTCAACGAACAAATGTATAAATGAGTCTAATTCGTTGAAATCTTTTCTAAGTTCAAAACAGTTGCGGAAGAGTTTTCCATAGCCTTTTGTTTTAAAATATTTCTGATCTTTAAAAAAAACTCCAATCAGCTTCTTTCATGAAGTTTTTGCACTGAACAATTTGACGTTTCAGACAGAAGAACAACGAACTCTCAACGACGTTCAATCAGAGCACTATATAAAAAAACAAAATCAAGGCAGGACTTTCACGTCATTCATTATTTGCACTTCTTTCAAAATAAGAACGTGAATGGCTAGAACGATTATGTGAATGAAGAAAAATGATAGAATGAATCTAGGTGTTGGAGAAGGAGAAAAAATAGTAAAAGTACTTAAACCAGTGGCCGAGCGAAAAAACGCTGTGAATAGTGAATGTAAATCTACGTAGAACGAAAGATGAAAAAAATGATATGCAAAATTTGTCAACGGGTTGAACTCGCGGGTATACGAAAAAATGCAACCCGACCCGCGAAATTCGTAAAACGTGAAAATAACCAGCCCGCTGGTCGCGGGTTCAATCACGGTCGGCTCGTTGACCTCTCTGCTACGAAATTTGAAAGATTTTCTGGATTTGCTCGGCTTAATATCCTATACAAGACATTGTCAAAAACTCTTTTAGTAAAGACTTATAGCAAAAGAATGCCTTTTCTGAGAAACTGAAAACCCATATCTCTAAATTATTGTATTCAAAACTTATTCCAAATTCCTCAGAGTTCTTTTTCGTTCGAAAAAAAATAGCAGCAGGTTGTACATTTAGAACCTGTCTAAATTTGAATCAACATGTGTACTTTATAAACTTCCTTTTAGGTGATGACAACACCACAGCCATTGCAGTGGGCGTTACAATCTCTATCGTAGTCTTGCTCTGCATCGGCATTGCAGCTTACTTCATACGACGCCGCTAACGCTAGAGCAACAATTTATCCTGAATATTAGCAAATCAATTGTTTTCAAAACATTTGCACGACCACTTGTGTTTGAATTTCTTACAGAGATTCTAGAAACACGTTGTCGATACCAACATAATTGTCACCATCATAATATCATGTCGTGTAATCCACTGTTGTACCGATGCACAATGTTAGGCAGTAGTAAGGTGCGCGTACAGCAAAACTCGAGCAGAAAATGAATTTAGCTAAGTTGGGTGTGAGTGTGTGGGTGTGGGGTGTGGGTGTGGGGTGTGGGTGTGGGCGTGTGTGGGTGTGGGCGTGGGTGTGGGTGTGTGGGTGTGGGTGTGGGTGCGGGTGTGGGTGTGTGGGTGTGGGTGTGGGTGTGGGTGTGGGTGGGTGTGGATGTGGATGTGCGTGTGGGTGGGTGTGTGGGTGTGGATGTGTGGGTGGATGTGGGTGTGAGGTGGGGGTGGGGGTGGGCGTGTAACTGTGGCTGTGTGCGTGGGTGTGGGTGGGTATTCTTTCATTCTACACCCACACCCACACCTACACCGACACCAACACCCCACACCGTCACCAACACCCTTACACCCACACCTACACAGACACCAACACCCCACACCGTCACCAACACCCTTACACCCACACCCCACACCCATACCTACACCCACATCCACCATCTGTAGCGATAGCGTGATGGCTATTTCTCACAACTTTGTCATCCATAATTTTCGACAGGTCCACATCCTCTGCTTTGTTGATTTTGAAAAAAGACCTACCTTTAGGTGGTTTATTGTGCGCATCGTATGAAGCCGTACTTGAAAATAACGGAAGAAATATTGAAGCGTCATGTCGAGTGACTGACTCACTAAAAAAACATTTTTTTTGCTTCATGTAGTCTTTGCATATAAATACCTGATATTTTTTGGCATTTTTGATTGAATATTCATTGAATCAAGCGAAAAAAACACATAGCGAAGCTTTTGAGATTTCTCTATTATTTTAATCGAGTTGGTTACAGAAGAACACGAAAAATGAAACCAAGCAGAAACAATTACTTCTTGCAGTAAGTCTCACGAACATACGATGAAAATTGGTTTGTATATGAAGCTTCATGAGTAGTCACGGATTATTTGAATTTCAATAAAAAGAAAAATTGCTAATTTCGATAGCATTCCAAAAAGAATTGAGTTGATTTCGAATCGTTTTCGATTGTAGAGCTAAAATATATAGAATCGGAAACAAATTCATCGAAACATATTTTACTTCTTTCTTTAGTCTAGCAATAAACAGGTAAATCAATCATGTATATCATATACATATAGACAAATATTTTTTAAAAAACGAAAAATAAATTCTCTCGATCTGTTTAACATAAGATACTTTCAATTCAATGGCGCATCAGAGTAAGTTATAATGATTCTTTCACCAGGAAGTAAGTAATTTCAAATCGGAATTAGACTCTTTATCAGCAATTCAGATTCAGATCCAAAAAAACTCCTATTACCAATTTCTATAGGATTTAAATACAGATGAAGCCATCCGGTTTATTTACGATTCTGAAAATAGCCAGTTCTGCTTATCCTTATTCATGGCATATATATCTTTTTGTTTGTTTCTTTCTAGAATGTTCAAACCGATTTTCGTATTACTGGCTTTTATGAGAACTATTTGTTGTGATGATCTACCCGGTCTAGAATATTTATCCACAGGCTTTGACGCCTTAAAGATGATTAATACAATTGAAGATACAACGCGTTCAAATCCAGAACGATTAAAATATAAAATCTTTAATTTTATCAAACCAAGTGGGAAAATGTTTACTCTAGATGTTAATGAGCGAAAACAGAAGTTTTCAGTACCAGATTTAATACAAGTAGCTGAATTAGATATGAGAGTTAAAAAAAATATAGAGCAAATTACCTATACATACGAAGAGTTCTATACAAGGTAAACGATAGCTTGTAATACATTCAGTCTTATACTTTCTGATTTCACAACCCTTAACATTAGTCTCTATTCTCCTTTATTTTTACAGCTATTTTCGTTCATTCTCAATTGATCTTGATGTAACAATTCCTATTCCAATCGCGCAACCTGGTATGCCTTTGCTTCCACTGATAACACCATCATTCGGTTACCATAACACATTGAAAACTGCTTATGACTTCATAACGAAAACGTCGGCAGCAGTAGGCATAGCTACAGACTGGTGGGGAATGTATACAATACATTTGGGACCAACATTTTTGCTGACGTAAGTCGTATGATACTATATTATTTTAGTTTTTCAACACAGTTGATCACTGAGAAATACGGAAGTTAGAAACTTTATCTTTGAAATTTGCGTAGAATTTTTATTTTTAAAAACTGCACCGTGGATATTTGAAAGTACTTTGACATGCATGCGATAAGTCAACTTTTATCAATTTTCCTTATTATCCACATTTCTTAGGTTTGACGATGCATTTAACAAAACGTTAGTTAAACTCGTTTCTAATCCAACAACTGAAAACGATCAATCATACTACAACCAACTCGTTGCTACATTCGGTACACACTATATTTCGTCAGTTATCGTTGGAGCATCAGTTGATATTTACACATATATATCACAAAACTATCATAGTCAGTACGATTCTAGTTCATTATCACAAGCAATTTCACTAGGTGTTGGAATTTCAATTTTTGATGCTTTTTCATTCAAGAGGAAGAAAGGTAATGGACAAACAAGTGGAAGCATAACCGAAATTAATGTTAATCTTGGGCTTTTTGATGATATTGCTGGTCTGCATGGTACATTCAGTTGGGGTTCGAGTGACACTCGATTAAGTAAAGATTTCAAAAAAAATTCAGCCTTTGAATGGAAATTTTTACCGTCTGTGAATGTCACCTCTGACATTGATGAAAACATAATGAAAGCATGGTTAGAGCGTGCATCAAAAAAACCTACTGTAATTAATCGTACGTTATCATCCATTGTGAATCTATTAAGTGATTATCCATCTCCGATTCGTCGTCATTTACAGTCAACAATTGACTTTTATCTAAAGCATGCTCATCTGCCAAAACTTGAAGAGCTGAAACAGAACACAAATATAACTCGCTCGAAACGTGCATCGGCTGCTACTAGTAAAAGTATACCAGGTTTGGATGTTGTTGGCCAAGGGGAAAACAGCGAACTTCAAGACTTCAAGACTTCAAGAGACTTCAACGGACTTCAGCCGCAGTGACTTCATATTTTCACAAGACTTCAAAAGACTTATGAAGACTTCATTGGATTTCAAAAGACTTCATGAGGCAGATTCCATGTGTATCAAAAAAACTTATAGAAATTAAATGAAACCTCTATAACATGCAAAAAAGCTTATCATTAAGTAAGGGTGTCATTTACTATGTACTTTATAATAAATACAAATTACTTATCATTTAATTTACGCGTAAATTAAATGGAAAGTAAATAGAAACTGACACTCTCATTCATAACGGAGTAACTAGCGTCTTCCGAGCACTAGGAACAGAATGATATTGATAAAATCAACGTTGAAAATATTATTTTAGCTGCATTTAACCGTGCAAAAGAACTAGTTAGTTATTTGCATATACTACCTTCATTAAAGGAATGCAATGCTTGTGAACTTAATGGATTAAGTAAAAATATATCTGATAGTATTAGATTCAACATTAATTCGGATAATTATTTAGCAGCGGATTCAGATTCTGAATCTGATTATGACGATGAAGCAATGGAAAGTAATGAATTTGATAGTGATCTAATCAATGTGGATGAAAAAGATAAAGATGCGACAATGACACAAAACTTTGATGAAATTAAAACTGAGAAAATAAATTTTACTGGTATGCGTATATTCGATTCGATTAATCCAGCAATGAAAAACTCCTATTTTCAAGTGCAAATAAATAACAAGACTAAATTTATACACAAACAAACGGCTTGTTGGTTACTGACCGACAAAGTTAGCCGTTTATCGGCTGATAGATTATCACGAGTGATAGAAACAAACAAAAAGGATTGAAAATCGTCATCAGATTGATTTGGATAGGTGGAAAATTTCTATAAAAATAAACCACTTCATTCAAAACGCATTCACTTATTAATTATCATGTTTTCTAAGATCCAACAAGCTTGAATTTTTTCCAGTGCATTAAAAAAAATAAATGTGGAAACATGGGATTTAAATCCGAGAGTTATGTGTACTTCAAAAAGTGAATGAGACTGATTAGTCATCCTAGAATGTGTGGGCATAAAAATTATCCTGGCGAACCTTTTCTATAAACAGTTGATTTTTTGGCTACTGCTCAACCACTAGGATTTACAGATGAATACAGCTCAGATTTGAACTATTCGCCTTGATTTACCCTAGGAAAGTCGTTTTTTCGATAACCTGATTTCTATTGGTTACTGCTCAACCAATAGGATTTCGAGGCAAACGGAGCTCAGATTGGAGTTCTCCGGCCCTAAAAACCTCGAACTGTCATCTCTATCATCGAAAGACAGAGCTCTAATTGTGGCTCAATTAGACTGTGGACACAAACAGAACCAATTCCCGTTTAATTACCCTTGCAATAGGTGAGTTGGTCTTCTTGTTTCTTTATGTTTTATATACCATTTTGTAGCTCGTGAAATTTTCTATCGAATGGTATATAATAGTTGGGGTTTTATTTGACTATAATAGGAAAAGTTTTTTATGAAAGCGGGGATAGGTCGATTTTCGCATAGGAAAGCATAGGAAAAAATGACTGTTTTTCCAATAACTCAGCAACGGCTCGGCCAATCCTTCTCATCTTCGAACTCGACTGAGATATTGTTGAGACTAAACTGTGTAGAACATTTTATCGCAATCGGACTCCCCTTTCAAAAGTTATCGTGTAAACGGCCGGACACACTGACCGATTCTAGAGTGTATTCACTTTTTGGGTACACAAAAACAATAAAAAGTTCACCTTTCTACTAAAATAATACTGTCGAAAACAAGACAATTTCATTGGTTTCTTGTGAATTTTCATGCACGAAATGTATTTCAAAGCTTCCAGAAGACTTCAAGAGACTTCAAAAGACTTCATCAGATTTCATCAGACTTTAAAAGACTTTAGAGACTTCAAGAGACTTTATGAGAATTCATAAGACTTCAAGAGACTTCAGAAGACTTTGAAAGACTTTCAAGACTTCATGAGACTTCAGCCGTGAAGTCTCCGCTGTTTCCCCCTTGGGTGCACCTGAGAAGAGAAGAAAAAAAACAGGGCAAAATAGATTTGCAAACGATGAAAGAACAAGAAAACAAAACGTTAATTGATATGAAAACGTAGTCGACAAACGTTTGTTCTCAATTTACCTTATTATCGAAAGAATAAAATGCGATCATTCAATAGTCCATGTCTAGTCAATCTTCACCTTCTTAAGACTGAATCAAAGTCTTGTAGTTTAGCCATCGCGAGTCTTGCTCAGATAAGCACTTTCAATTTCGCACATTTGTTTTTTTTTTGCAAATATTCTTCTAGGCATCTTAAAAACTACCGATTCATCATCAACGCACAGTAATAAAAAGCGTAACCATCGAAACCTTTCCAGTGGTTGTCGCATTCAGTATCGAACGAGATAACATTATCGTCGGAATGTTGCGAATGACATCAAAATCAAGAAAAATAAGAACAAATAGTTTTTTGAAACAAATCATTCAATTTGTTTTTCATAATAAAACGTCACATGTCTGCTGTCATTTCTATCTTCACCATTTTGCAATACATTTTTCAAACATATTCAAATTGAAAAAATAAATAGGATGAGATACTTCTATGTCTCAATTATTAACATGCGACTATTGAAATATTTTAAAAAGTCATAAACTGAATGTCTTGAGGATGAAATTAAAATTAATTCAATCGGAAGAGAACGCATAAATTATCCAAATAAGGGTTACCTATTGTCATTTGACTTTATGAAGAGTCAGTGCACGTCAGATGTCACTCAAATACGTTCTTTCAAAAACTAGTTCTAGACTCAAAAATAACAAAAACAAAGTTTTTTTTAAGTAAATGAACTATAATTTACATCAGTTTTTTGAAGAAACGTAACATTCACAGAAGTCTGTTCCATAGCAACATTACCGATAATGTCCAGTCAATCAGTTCAATATGTGCCAGTGATAAAGTGAAAGAATGAATCCACCTCAAGCACGCATTATTCTACCGACGAACGCGACAAGTGCTACCAATCCTCTTGCAGCTACTACTCCAACAGCAATTACTCGTGATACAGTAGTACAGACAAATCGGGAGGGTGAACCACCTGAATATCGTGAAATTAAGACAACTGAACAAATTCTTGAACCGACTTTATTAGAAAAAGCTCCATCAGCAAAAATGACGACAAAGACAACTACGACAACAGTTGAAGAAGTATCAACGATTCCAACTTCGAGGATAACAACAACTGTCCAAGAGATACCGGCTTCAACAGACTACGTATTGAAACGGGCGGACGAGTTCAAACCGTTAGCTGTGATCTCTGATACTACGCCCATCAATAGTGCTAACAATCAAATTGTAGGAACAACGAGTACAGGTAGTTTGACAACGCCAGGCAAAATTGTCGGTGATTTAGAACAAGTTGTTTCAGAACACGTGGTAACTACGGTAGCTGAACCAGTGATAAAGAAAGTCGTCAAAACTGTAACCCACGAAACCAACGAATAACAGCAAAAACTACATAGTTTTCTAATCAAGCATTATTGCTAACTAATCAAGCTTTTTGTATATTCTCTCAACTGAAGGCAAAGGCATAAGAAATAAAATGCACTTAGTTTATGTGTTTGTATGCACGTTCCTAGTCACGTGTCTTCATGTATTGGTGTAACTAATAGAGTTTGTTGGTTTTTCGAAATTTTGATTTTAATTTTTTTGATCAAGAAAAATGTTTTTTTACGGAAAAAAATGATTTGTTTGTCAATTAAAGGAAGGATCATATGAAACAAAATGAGTTTGTATGCTTCCTTGGGGCATATTTGGTAGCACATGTAAAGTCACGTGTTGATAGATGTTTGCACGAGTTTATAGCAACTATTTGAAATGAGGTTTTTGATATTGTTAGCTCAATGAATCAGATGTTTTTGCTATCAGATCTCGGTTAATCGGATATTTTGGTATTGGCAATCAGCCAAATGTATGTATTCTGGATTAAGGCTTCTGTGTTCACTAAATTGAGTTTGGGTCTTGGTGTAGATATGGATTTAGTTTTTCTGTTTATTATATATACTCTAGTCGAATCAACATTGACATGAAATATGATATAATGAAGTCGATAAATAGCACTACTATTAATTGAAGTTGTTAGTATTGCATCTGTCATCGATGAATCTATGATGCAACCCATATCCACTCCCTCAAGCTTGTAATAAAAATGAACTTTCTATATATTTTCATCGTCATTTTTAAGTTTATAAAAAACTCTAAATATAATTCTAATATAGAACTTAGCAGAAAATGTTTTTATTTTATTTGATTCTTCATAATCTACTAGCCGATACAAGATAATTTTATTCGAAACAATTTTTTATTCCATCACTGGCTGAAGACTATAATAAGAACGTTAAAGCAATGTCAATTTTCAAAAATCATCAACTTCGATCAATGTTGAACTTTTGTACTCGATGATTTTTTTGATCACTCACGTAGAGATTACCATCTCGATCAAATGACAAACCAACGGGATAAGACAATTGATTTGATTGACTTCCTGGACCATTTCCACCAACGAAGACACTTCCTTGTGTATCTCCTGGAGACCAACGCATGATTCGATGATTTCCATTGTCAGCAACATAGACAGTACCTGATTGATCCACGACTATACCACAGGGATTTGATAATTGTGCTAGACTATTTCCGTGACCCTGACCACCAGCCACAACAATACCTTGTTTCTCACCTTTCATCCACTTCATCACACGATGATTGTTATAATCTGATACGTACAATGAATGATCTCCATCGACAACTACGTATCTTGGATTAGACAATTGATTCAGGCCATTTCCTTGTCCATGTCCACCTGCAATGACTGTTCCTTGATTATCTCCGACCTGATATCGTCTAACTTCATCTTTATCGTAATCAGCAATATAGAGAAAGCCATCATTGTCCATTGTCAAGCCACAACATCCAATATTTGAGATGATTGTTTCTCCATGTGTACCATTTTGACGTGGCCATCGAACTACTCTTTTGTTACGATAATCACTAATAAGAAGACTATCTCTTTGTTTATCAATAATCACACTCGTCGGACCCCACAACTGATCAGAATGGCTTCCTCCTCCATTTCCACCAGCTACAATTCGACCACTCGTCGTGCCACATTTCCATTCGACAATGCGATCATTTTTGAACTCAGCAATGTAGATAGTTTGTTCGTCATCAACAAATAAATCCCATGGATTGTGGAGTTGATTCATTTCACCACCTTCTCCATTTCCTCCAGCAACCGTAACACCATCATGTATCCATTTTGCATTGGCATTCAGATTTGCAATACGTATTAATGGTACTGAAACAAACCACAATTTCATTTATTCACAATAAATCAATGTATACGTAGATGTAAACGGATATTCGAAGTACAGAATTTTGATTGTGAGAGTGAGACAAAGAATAGTTTTACTCAGTTTTCAAATGTCGAATGATGATAAATATCCGATTCTTCGAATTAAACACCGAAGTCTCTCTTCATCTCATCATCATCGAAAAGCTTCTTATCTATTAAATTTCTTTTTGAATAGAAGTCGATTGAAATGACTATTAAATTTCGGTAGAAATTGGCTGAAAAAAAACTTTTTACTTCAACTATTTTCAAAGAAAGAAAATCAACAGAACGTTATTAAAACTCTTTTAGAAATGAAATCCCAACTGAGAACTATTGCTATGAGTTCAATGACGAGATGAAAAAAAATTCTTTTTTCAAAAACAAACAATCGACACTTAAAGAAATATTTGATAAAGCTTCATGCAGTTTGATTTTCATAAAATCAATCAGTTCGACATGCGAAATATGAGAAAATAACTGTGAAGAGCTATGTCAACTGTTTCTAATCATTCTAAATCTCACAGCTATGACGAAAAGTTAGACATAATTGAAACACATATTAATTTCTAAAAACAGTCAAAATCAACGACTCGCTTGAACAGAGAAAAGCTCCCGACAAAGTCTTAACACAATTCTTTTTTGTTGGGTTTGCATAGCACTTTAGTCTAGATAGAAGAGAATCGAATCTCGTTAGTTTCACAATGGTTTTTCGTCGAAAACAAAGGTAATCTTTTCTATTCTACTATTGAAAGTCTTGACTCAACAAAGTCCGATCAGTCCGTCGTTTGGTACCGATCAATATCAGCTTTTGATTTATGTCATTGTGAAGAGTAACTTAGAAGAACTTGGAAACTAAACACATGACGGAACAATCAGTAACACATTCAAATCGCGTTCTAATTAGAAATTCAACCTTGTGCCATTTATACTTCACTTCGAAGCTCGATACATTTTGTCCATCTTCAATCTGAAAATGCAATGTATTGAAGCTTCTTAGTCAAAGATTCAACTTTCGTGTACTTGAATAACTTTTGATAGGAATATTATAGGGAGCTGACATTTTCAACATTCCAGAGGTGTGAATGCGGACGTGTGTTCATTTCATTGGTGTGCTCACCTATATCTGTCGAGCAACAATCGTAGTCCTAGAAACAAGCGTTACAATCATAAAATCGTCCATTTTCGGACGATTTCGATCACACGGAAAACTCTTTTCTACAATCAAAAGAATCTTATCCAAATGACTATTCTATGTCGTTTTATAAAAATGATTTCGATTTGAATTCGAAATGAAACTTTGAAATGTTGAATATGTTTTATTTTGGATGAAAACCTACTCAGTTTCATCAAAATAATAAGTTTCGAATGGTATGTTATTTAGTTTTCTTGAAGACTGTTTGTTTCAAAATACTCACATTTTTGTCGTTCTTCATGGATATAGATGAATTTATTCCAATCAATTTGATTGTTTTTATGAATAATGATTGATTTTGATATATCTTTTTGAAAAAAATGTTCGAATTTTTGTTGTACCTCATTGAGCTTTTGTTGGAGATGATCAATATCATATTCAGGAAAATTTTCTTCTTGACGACGACGAATTTCTTTTGTAATTGGTTCAAGCTCTTGTTTTGTGATTATTCTTTGTTTTTCGATTAATTCAATAAGTTTATGACGAGCTTTTTCTGCTGTTTCTTCTACTTTGTTGATTGCTGTTTTCTTCCATTCTTCAATTTGATTAAAAAGATCCACCGATGAATAATTCGAGTTTTCTAATTTTTCTATTTGATTAAGAAGTTCATCATGTAATTTGACAATTTCATTGTTGAATTTCATCGATAATTCTTGTTCGTGTCCTTTGAAATCTTTCGAACAAAAATATTTCTTACACCCAATGCAAATGCATATGGCTGAAGATTTATGACAGATTGAACATAAATTTGATTCATTTACTGTTGCCATTTATGTCTGAAGAAAATTACTCGAACTATGTAATTTATTATGAAAATATGTTGATCTAAAAATGAATTCATATGAGTATTTACAAAGAAAAATTAATTTTAAGATATTTAATCAATTTTCTTTATTTATGACTCCTAGAAAATTTTGTTCAACTATCTCTAATATGGTCCCATCTTTATGTAATAAAAACATAATAGGAACGAGATGATATTACTCTTCAATGAATTCCTATGTTTGATTTAACAATAATAAAAATATTGATTGTATTCGCTAGTCATAAATAGCTCACAATTTTTTCTAAAAAGGAACATTCGTTTTACGTGAATCAATTTATGTCGATCAAAGTCAAAATTCAATAAAAAATACTTCCAAGTTTAGTGTAGAAATCTCTCTATAAAGGATAATAATATTTTCAACAAATAGAAACGCATTATTATTCGATAAAAAATGTATCGTAACCGTATTTCAAAAAAAAGTCTATAATATTATCCCTTGTATAAGAGAAAAATAGAAACTTACTGAAAGTGTATGATGATTGTCCAAATAGAATTTGTGTTTTGTTCATTTGGATAAGAAAATATTCTTGAAAACTTTCTCATATCTTCTATCAAGGATCATGTAAGAGTATTCCATCCCACACTCTCTTTTTGGTCATTTCTGACTCTTGCAGAACGCACAACTGATCTGCATGAAATTTTTACACGGCATTTTTTGCGGAACAACTGGTATTACCATAGGACCACACCGGATCCAATAAATTCAGATAGGAAGATCAAAAATGAGACCAACAGATTTCACATCTGGAAACTACTTTGAAGTATCTGCGGCTAAAATTTCAGACCGATAGGGCAGAGTTGGAAGGGAATGCTAAGCAATCCAGATATGGTCCTATGGAAAACCTTGTTTAAAGTTATTTTCCTCGAGCACATATCTCTTCATTTTAGGTATTATATCTCTAGTGAAAACTTCATGTGAATCAGTTGTATCCTCTTCTAAAATCAGAGATAGAAGACAAAAAAGAGGATATCCTTAGTTTGATGATGAATTTTGTGACAAAATTGGGAAAGAAATGAATGAATGAAAAGTCATCGAAAAAAAAAAAAAATCTTTCACGATTTCTCTACTCTAAATCTGAATATGAACAGGCTAAGTCTCTATTTTGATTTAAAAAAGTGGGAACTTTTGAAAATATCTCATTATAGAAACTATAAATATTTGAACCATAGTTAAAGTTTTTCTTGGTTACTCAGACGTAGCGTTTGATTCAAAACCATATAAAAATTGTTCTCATGCATATTCGATTCCTTTATGTACAAATGAATTGATCTTCATTTAATCTATTCGCAAGTTGTCTCGAATTCATCTTAGCAATTATTTTATATTTTTGTTTGAATTCTTTGTCAAGAGCGTTTTTCTAGTAGTTGACATGTTTCTTCGACAGATGATAAAGGTTCGTTGTATAGTGGCTTCTCGGTGTCACTCTATAGACTCGACTTCTTGAAATTGAATATTTATTGGATTTTCTAAAGAGATAATATTAATGAAAACAAAAAAGTATTAATGATATTCTTTGTTAATATTACATATTAAAGAAGTATTTTATATTAAGTTTTTGTAATCTTGAGTTTTTTCTCTACTACAATATGAATTCAGCATTTTGTTATCCAAGTCTTTAAGAGCAAACTTCTGCCAATTGCTTCATTAATCCTGATAACACTATATTTTCTTTGAACCACAGTAGTAGTTCGTATTGAAGCAGAAAAAAATTGAAATTAAATGATATTCCTTCAACACAATCATTTACATTTTATATTAAATGAATTAAGTGGTAAGTAGGAAAACTTCAACTTAATATGAAGTATTATAATGATTTATTAAGATTTAATATTAAGAAATCAATTAGTGACTACTGATATTCTGTTCGTAGTTGTAAAGGTTAATTAACGAATCTTAAGTTATGTTAATGTTAAAGTAAATGTTTCGTTCACGTAACAGATAATGATTGATTTCAATAAAGTTCCTCATTTCTACGCATTAATTTCTTACTTGTAATTCGATGTAATATTTATTTTGATATTTCGTAAAAAGATATAAGCGATAAGTGACAAGCTATACACAAAAAGAACAAATACAACAAAATCCAATGATTCTCACTTTTTTTTTCTTACGAAGGAAAAAGTAAAGGAGAAAAGAAAAAAAAACTCGTTCGTTTCGAACACGTTGCATACAGCTTAAAATTCCCACACTATTTTTTTTTGCTTTTTTTTATGGTTGATTGGATAAAGCACGTGGATTTATTTGGAAAAGATACTTTTACAATTTTCATAAGTAGATTTTTCTGAAAAAATCTCGAGTTTCAGATTATATCGTAAAATATGTTAAGTTTTCATAATATAATAAATAAAATTTTTTTTTCCGATTTGGAACATATAACTAAATTAACCAAAAAAGCAATCTATTTGGACTATTAAAGTATTATGTAATAATAAAGCATTTTGAATCCTAATGACTTTAAAAAATTCTGTCACCAGAGAGTTTCCAAAGTAATCAACTTGTTCATTTTAAAAGATTTCTCAACTTTTCTAATATGTCCTTTATTCTTTGTTCTTTTTCGGTTCATTTCGTCTGTGGTTCTTCTCAGACGAGATTCCTGATTTTTCAATTTTTTATACTCAGCATTTCGAAATATGAAGACAGCTTTTATTCCTTTGTTGCTGATATTGAAAAACTAATCTTTCTCAGCGAAAAGTCAAAGCAAAATAAAAATTCTGTTTCACATTTCTCAGAGAGACTGAATGTTGACAATTGCATTAGAAGAGTCGGGTAAGTTTTAAAAATGAAACATTGATTCATTTGAGAACTCTGATGACAATATTTCTTAGGAGTCACTAGAGTTCAACATATTTTATAATCAAATAATATTCTAACTGTATCCATAAATTACTTTTTCTTCTAGACAATGGTGTGACGCGAAATGGAAAAAACATGTATACGATTGCACAGAACGAAAAAGAATTATCATGCTTACATTTGTATGACAAATCAATATATTTTTTCATGGCTCTTTTGGAAGAATCTAGTTTTAAAATTTTGAAAGATATTTTTTCAATGTAATGTAATTCTGTTTTGACATGCTGACATCTTACAACAAATGCTCAAGGACTTGTCTTTCTAAAGTAAAATATTTCGAGAATTAACTCACTATAATTGAATTCATTATTTCAAATGGATGGTACAATGAAATTACTGCGATAGCGATAAGACTCATCAGATAGTTTGAAGAGTTTGTGTAATGACATGTCTTTCCTCGAATATCTAGGGTATGGGTTTGGGTGTGAGTGTGAGTTGTAATCTTTTTTTGTTCACACCCACACCCATACCCTCAATCAGTTTTTATGACCGAATTTATCTCATAAATGGTTTAAATTAGAACTAATACAACGTTAATATGATGGTCGAAAAATATTATCCAGGTCGAACTTAATCATAAATAGATAAAATAATATCAGAGCAAAGAAAAATAAACTGCTAAAGTATTGTAAAGAATCAACCATGAAACTGAAATTTCTAATCCGCGTTTTTCTTGTTATCAAAAAAAAATTGGTTGATTATCAATATTGAAAGAGTCCTTGTTATGGGGAGAACTTCTAATTTGTCAATGGTTTTATATCATTTATTCTGTTAAAACCAACATCTGACTCTCACTGAAATAATGTTATTGAGTCAAAACTAGAACCAGAAAATTACCATATATATCTATGAATACTTTCTTTAACGTAGCATCCCGATATAAGCGTCATCGATTTGATATTCAAGAAGCTATCAAAATTCATACTAAAAGCACAAAAAAAAAGCAGCTCGAAGTACTGAACACGAAAATAAGATACGATATTGGTTCAATACTTGTAATTATTGAATACATATAATTTGATTTCGATACTTGATAGTGTAAAATAAAGAAATATTTTTTTGCATATATTCACAGAAAAAAAGAATATTTTGAATATATAGAAGCACTATGAGGCAGACGCGGTTACACCCAAACTGAAGTGGTTTATTGAGTTTAGGTTGTAGAATGAAACCCAAACTCAACTTCTAAGTGGTGTGGATTTTGTAAAGCTCTAATTAATTTCGAAGGTACTGATCGATATGGATATTGAGGTACTGAATTTATCTAATGTTCTTTATAGATTTTTTCCCATTTATTCTAATACATTGAGTGTTGATTATAATGGGTACAAAAAGGAAATAATACTACTGAAACTTACCACTATTAACAACGTTACAACAGTTTCAATATAAGTATCTGCGACTGTGTGTACTAATGTTTATGGCGTGCAAATGATATTTATACATGGCAGAGCTTCGCATAGGATAAAAATTTTCCATCCTATGCCATGAGATAAGATAGGGCGTACAGATTTTGATAAGTGTCCTGTAGGATAGGATAACTTTTCGCAACTTCTGTCTCGTTCTAGCCCATGAAATGTTTATCAAAATAGTTATCCTATTCTATCCTGCCACTTTCATAGGAGAAACAGCCATCTATAAGAACATTGTATATAGAAAAATATATACTTTTTTTATCGTATAGATTGTGTTCTTGTCTATTGCAATGGAACTAGCAAAACTAATATTTTGTTCTATTCTATATAAGTGGTTATGCATTATATCCGTATATGAGGTGTTAGTATCAGAGAAGAGAATACCAACATCCACGAAGAGAAGAATAAAAAGAGAATATACATACATCGAAGACAATGTGATCTAATTTTATTCTGATATACCACAACTAACAGGTCTTATCTAAATCTTATTATTATGATAACAGTTGAAGCATGATCAAATATCACAGAAAAATAGAGCATTGTTTT